GGTCGCAGTCCCGTCCCAGTTTGCCGGTGTCTCTCCCCGTGTGATCCACGCCGTGGAAGGTGAAAGCCAGACCCTAACGCAGAGTGACAGCTCCCACTCACGGGACATTAACCCTGTTTGTCACTCGCTGTCTCCAGACGCAGACCCCGGGCTCTGGAGCAGATGGCTCCTGTCCCCTGCTCCGGTCCCTCCCTGGGGACGCTCCTCCCGCGGCTCCGGGAGCAGCTGGGGAGGGCTGGGGGACACACAGGACACGTGGCCCCGGCTGCCACCTCATCTCCCTGGAGTGCTGCCGGTGTCCCCCCACGGGGCTGGATGACACCAAGTGCTCCAGGCCCAGCCCTGCTCTGGTGCCTGATAATTCCCAGATCCTGCCTGTGGAATTGCTCAGATGGAAACCATGGGGCTCGTTACAGCCCATGCTAACGAGCACGGAGGAAAGGAGGTGCATTCCAGGAGTCTGGCTGGTTGTGGAACAGCTGCTGGTCCATGTGGGTGTACGGGGGATAAAATACATAAGAAACCTCATAGAAGTCTGCAGCAAGCTTTGGGAAAGTAACTTGGCCTGGGATGGATGAAACTGTCTTGGATTTAGACTGTCAGTACTGTCAGATTCTTAATCAGGTGTGGCAAGAAATGAGGAAGAACTGAAAACTGGGATTAGAGGGATATTTTCAGGTGCCTGTGGCTGAGCCCGGGTGTTGGGGGATCTTGGGGTGGGGGGGGGTGTGGGGCTGCAGCCTGACAGAGGCTCAAATCCCACGGAGGGATTTTTCTCATCCCACTCTTTCCAACAGAAAGGTCCTGTGGGTCAGATCCTGCTGGGAGCAGGAGCCAGTGCTCGGCATCAGTGGATGTGAGGACCTCACATTCAAAACAGTCCTCCTTCAGCGAGGAATTAGAATCATCCCCTTTAATCCCCCTCTCCGAGTAACTCGTTTCCTGATGCGGATTTATCCGCAGGGATCAGCAGCAGGAGCATTAGCGGCGTGACCTCCTTCCTCGGCGTTCCTGCGCCGGTAAATCTCCGTTATTAACTTCCAAGGAGCTCTGCCCGCCCATTCCCTGCTCTCCTCTCCGGGATGGAGGGAAATGTGTCACTGGGGCAAGAGCTGCGACCCGAATCCTCCTGCCGGGGATGGCTCTTTGCCTGCCTGGCCCTGAAATCCCTGGGAATACAGGGATAGAGCGATGCTCCCGGGAAGCCTCCAGGATATCCGGCACCCTGCCCACGGATTCATCCTCCCAACAACGGGGCCAGGGCTTGGGGAGTTTTGGGGGGTGTTTTGGGTGAAGGGTTTTGGGAGTAGCCCTGTTTTTGCCAGCCCGTGAGTGCAGCGTGTTCTGCAGCAGCAGCCCCAGGCTGCATCCTGAACTTTGGGCTGATTAGATTTCCAAGAGGGAAGGAAGGATGTCTAATTGTTTAATTTCCACAATTAGAAAAATGTTTATCGATAATTAGGAGTGATGGCAGTGATTACACTGCGATTAGAGCCGGGCTACACTTCATCACCGGCCTTTCACTCGGGGCCTTTATTTCTTTATTTTCACTCCAGAAAGACCCATTTCCAGCCACGTTGCTGCCAATAATGAATCATCCCCGTTCACTGCCTGCACAGCAGCTCCTTAATCCCAAAGTGCCGGTGGTTCCAGGGAAGCTGCCGGACAGGACATGTGGTCACTGGGCTTGGGCAGGAGGAAATTTAATTTCAGAGGGTAGGAAAGCGAAGCAGAGCTAAAAATCACAGCAGCACTTCCTGTGCCTGTGGCTCAGAGCTCGGCGGTTCAGCCGCTCTCTCGCTCCCCTCCGAGCTCCCCGGGGATTTCCCTCTCCTCCCTCATCCAGGGATGATTTCCCAACAACTATTCCTTTCAGGCAAGGTTGGGCCTGTTAATAACATTTTGGGACTCTCAAAGTTTTCCCTCTCAGAGGGAAATGTCGTCTTCCAAGTATTTTTCCTGCCTTGAGAGACACAGAACCGGCAGCATCCGTGGGCTGGGCTTGTGCACCATCCTCCTGTGGAACCAACAGTGGGGCTGTGGCACCTGCAGTGTCACCTGGGGGCTCTTGGGGACAGAAGGGACACCCTCAACTCTCAGCCAAGCTTTGTTTGAAGCCATTTTTCACCAAAGGGACTCCTGGATGAGCCCCTGGGGGAATTCCAGGGGGATGGATTAGCCAGGGCTGCACCACGCCCATCCCAGGTGTGATGAGTTCCTGGGATGTGCCAATCCCGGGGTACCTGGGCTGGCTCCTCCCCACAGCCCCTCCTTAAAACCTGCTGAACAGGGGCCACAAGCTGTGTCCTGTGGGTATTGTTGGTAACTTTGTGGTCTCCCAACTCTTCCTGGCTTAAATTTAGGAGACCTGGACTGTGGGATAATCAAGCTGCTGCAGGGAGTTCCAAGGCATCCTTTCTCCCTGGAGCAGAGGTGTCACTGTCACCCGGAGGACGTGGCCCATCACCACTCCAGCTCTGCAGTGAGTCCTTGAACACGTGTTCCTTAAGTGTTTCTCAAGTGGGTCGTTCCAGGCAGCTCTGATGGGAAAACAATGGGCTGCAGCTTCCAGCTGGCACGCTGTCCCTGTTATTTTCGTGATTTGTGGATGTTTCAAAGCCCTCGTGTGCTGTCAGTACGTGCTGAGATCCCGGAGGTCTGTGTGGAGATGGGGAAGGGAAGTTTGGAGGTTCTAAATCTGTTATTTGTGAGGGTTTCTCAGCACTCCCGAGGTGTTGGGATGGTGGGGTTGGAGCTGTGGGGCTGGGGCAGGTTCAAGGTGGGGTTCAAAGGGCTGAACCCCACAGGGGTAAGGGGGTTTCCCCAGCTCCCCAAGAGCCTCAGGGATAGCCCAGCTTTCCATGATTCCTGCCATGAGGCCAGAGCAGAAGAGAATTTGAGGAGGATTTAAAGCAGTGAGGAAGGAGCTCGTAATTCCTTGTGAGCTATTGTAGCTGTGGGAGGCAGAGAGGAGTGGGAATAGTTAAGGTGAGGTGAGAGCTGATCAGTGATCTGTAAATCCTGAGGTGTGACAGGCAAGGGGATGAGGTGTGAGGAGTGGTGTGAGCAGTAAAAGGTCCAGCTGCTATCCCAGGCACTGAGCTCCAGCTGGATGCAGGGGAATCTCATCCAGGGAAGGCCAGAGGGAAGCCACTTCCTGTTACATTTTCATGGCTCTCCACAGAGTTTTTGGCACAAACTCTTCTGCAATGTGATACTGAAACATTTGACCTATTTTTCTACTTTTAAAGTCATGGAATGGTTTGGGTGGGAAGGGACATTGAAGCCCATCCAGTCACACCCCCTGTCATGGACAGGGACACCTTCCACTGTCCAAGCCCCATCCAGCCTGGCCTTGGACACTTGCAGGGATGGGGCAGCCACAGCTTCCCTGGGCAACCTGTGCCAGGGTCCCATGACCCTCCATGGCTCTTGGTACCTACCTGCAGCTTTTTCCCCTCCTAACTGATGTGTGTGGCGTTTCCTCCCTGCTGAAATAGGCCAAGAGTCTGGGGCAGCAGTGGCTGCTTCATCTGTGCCAGCCTGAGCTGGGCACGGTGTCCAGTTGGCAGGGAGGATAAACAGCCCAAGGGCAGTGGAAGTGCTTGTTACAGCTCACTTTATTGCTCAGCATTTAATAAGTAATGACTCTGAAAAGCTCGGAGCGGGGTCTGTGCCCGTGCTGCCTCCTGCTGTGTCCCTGTCACAGTGGATAAGTTAAACTGGGTTGAATCGGGGCCATTTTTGGATGAATACCCACCAAGGGATTTCGAGATGCTGTAAGAAGTTGGGGGTGTTGAGTGGGAGGTGTTTCCTTTGCTTGACTTCGTCCTGCTTTGTGGGGGAGGGAAAAAAAAAAGAGGAATGGCTCTGTACTAGGAAGCTGGGCATGGATTTCCATGGCTCTGGGTGTGGAGGGTGAGAGTACTCTGGTGTCCCTGTGAGTCAGGAAGGTACAAACTCCCACAGGGAACAGCTTCAAAAAAGAGCTCTAAAAGCCCATGTTCTGGGAGCTCCATCATGGGAGGCTCAGACACTCCATGGGCTCCAAGGCCCAGGCTGGGGAGCAGCTGGAGTTACTTGTGAAGCTCCTGATGTTGGTCAGGTCACCGTTACTCGCAGGGTGATGGATCGCTGCAGGTCCAGCCGCTGACCTTCCACAGCGGATCAGGGGGAGGCTTTGCTGGGAAGAAAACGTTCCCATTAGCTCAGCGCTTTGGCAATTTGTGTCATCCGGTGAACTCGTCAGGAATTCACAGCTGGTGTGAGAGGATCATCTGCTCCTGCAGCACCTGGGGCCAGCTGGGCCCTGCTGAGGGTTTGCTGCAGCAGGAGGAGGAGGAAGAGGCTCTGCAGACTCTGCTTCCATCTGGGATGTTCCCTCTTCTTTCTGGGGAGCAGTGGACAAGCAGAGAACCACAACCATAAACCCCTCATAACTTGTTACTCACCCTCTCTCCTGTCTCAGGGACTCTATTTCCCTTTCCACTCTGGTGTCCCGGCTGGAATATTTCATAAACAGAGAAAGAAACATGGGAGGAAACTTAATGCTTTTAAATCTCAAAGAATTAAACACTTCTCTTAATATCTGCTAGAAACTGCTCAGGGAGATCTTGGCATGTGCCAGCCTGGCACATAACTCCACCACAGCCACCTGCTATCCTTCCTGGAATCCTTTGCAGCTCCTTTGTGTTCTCTGAGCAGCACAAAGCTGTGGCGTGTCTGGTGTCACCACCAGGAAACAGACTCTGCACTGAGCCACGTGACGAACTTCCTCTCTTTCCCTGTTGAATTCCTTTTCCTTGCCTGAACGCTGCATGTCATGCAGCTTTTTTTCCAGTCTAAGGGGTCCCAGAATACGAAGTGCATGAAAAAGGATGGCTTTTTTTTTCTCCCAAAAGGGATGGAGGAGTCCAGAACTGGCAGCTAAAACGAGAAGGACACCGCAACAGCAAGGATTCTCTCGCAGCTGCTCTTTGGTTTTCCAGCTTGCCAGTTAATCAGCAGGATTTTGCTCCGTACATCCTGACGTGAGGCCTCGCACAGGTCCAGCACGTCACCTCGTTGTTGGGACTGTAAGTTCCAGGGCCACAAACCACTGTGGAGAGAACACAGTTGGGGTTCCAGCAGCTCCCCACGTGTTGGGGGAGCTGTCAGACATCCCCACAAGCCTTCCCAAGGCCCTGTGTGAACTCCCTGAGCCTCTGGCTAAATCCCCCCTCAACTTAACCTGCAGCAGGTGCTGCAAGAGCACTTTAAAAACCAGCAGGGAGTTTTCTACTGACTTCCATGAAGGGGGTTGTTTCTTATGTGCTCTGGATCCTGAGGATAGTCAGTCACTAGGGGAAACTCCACTTCACTGCTTCTCCTTTGCTGGTAAATGCTGTGAGCTCACTGACATGCTCCACCAGCTCGTTTCCTGTCCCTATCGTTATCCTAAATCTATAATGTGAGTGTCTTCCCAGAGGATGAACAGAAATATCCCTGCTTGTGACCCCAATATTTCCCAGCTCCTCCCCAGAGCTCTGTGACCAGCACTAATGAGCTCTGTTGCAGTCGGTGAGCTATTTTTACCCCGCGGTGTTTGGTGTTTACCGCAGCAGCTGGCGCAGTTCTGGTGGGTGTGATGGTTCTTCCCAAAACCTGGCCGGCAGCTGTCGATGGGGGTCACGGAGAAGCTGTTCTCCACGTACCGGATTGTAGGGACAGCCTCAGCCTCGTGCTCCAGAATGTACCTCAGCTGCTGGAAAAACTTCCCAATCCGCTCCGTTGCCTAAAATTCGGGAACGTTGGGAGAGTGAAAACGTAGCCTGTTCTTTGGCATTGATTTAAAGATATCAGTAAGTGCTTTCCTGATTCCCACACACTGACTTGGAATCAGACCCAGGATGTGAGCTGATCCCAGGATTTAATATTTTCAAGCCAGAGAGAACAGATTTTAGAAGTTGGCTATGGTAGACTTACTTTTAATTTATTATCTGTTCAAGGAAATGCAATTTAAGATTGAGTTTAGAGAACTGGATATTCAATACATTACAAATCATAAAGTCTATCATTCCTTATTAGGAGTAAATATGAAGGAAATAATGAGGGTTTGTTTGGTTGTTTTTTTTTTTTTTTTTCCAAAACTGGTTCTTTAGCAATTTGTATCAATTTGATTTCTAAACCCATTTTCCACCCTGAACTGAATTGTTTGAAACCCATGAATTGTCATTTACAATCCTGATCCCTTGAAATCTGGGCGAAGATAGATTACTACCAGTTACATCTGCAGGAGCTGAGGCAGAGGTGGGTGTTAAAGAGGCAGAGAAGACACGAGGTGACTGACACAGAACCTGCTGGGCTCTCAGGTTTGTCACATCTTCACAGTCGTAAGGAATCTTGTGGCAAACTTCTTCCCATCCTGGTGCAAACGGATCAACTGTGGATGGGGGGATGAAAACACATGAAGAAAGGGGAAAAGCTAGATTAGGTCCTGGTGGTTTCCTGCCTCCTTCCAACAACCCTCTCCACCTGCACACCTCTGAAATAACCTTTCTTGCTAAGTCTGTAAGTACAACCCTACAAATTTAACATAAAAACTGCGTTTTAGCTCCATCTGTGGGCAGCGAAAAAAACCACAGGCACTCCAGGAAAAAGAAAACCCAAAAAAACCCTAGAGAGGAAATAACTTTCAGAGGTGTCCCTGACTGCCGCGTTTCAGATGTTGTTTGTAGTACCCGGGGGTTGCTTATGAAAGCAAAGGATCCCTCCCAAACAAGCAGTGAAATCGGTTTACCTTGAAAACTAACAAAGAGCTCGTGCTGGAGGCCGTGCTTTGGCGTCCTGATGGAGTGGCACTTGTAGGATGACTTTGTGATGTGACACGTCAGGTGGGCGATGGTGCTGTTCAGGATCTCCTCCAGCGCCTCGAAGAACAAGTCGTTGTTTTTCAGCTTGCAGTGCATCGTGGTGAAGCGAACAAACACCTGGTAGGCATGGTCTGCTTCCCTGTAGGCTGGGAGGAGAGGTTTTGGGGGTGAACTCTGGGTGTGATCAGACCCAGCCTCAGACAGACTGTTGGAGTTCCTCGTGTCTGAAGTGCGGGCTCTTATTCAAAAAGAGATAAGTAAATAAAACTTAGTCACCAGTGGTGGCAGAACAATGTCAGCCTTGCCTGAGCTGACTCAAGAGTGCACATCACAAACCCACCAGCCCAAGGCCACGTGCTTACTCCTGACTTGGGGCTCTTACCATAAACCATGAATTTATAGGCCTCAACGATTTCTGTTTCTTCTTGTGTTGTGGTTTCGATGATTTTGTGGGACAGAGTGCAAGTGTAGGCGCCGGACATCGACTCCCTGAATCCCATCACCATCAGCTTCCCTGTCTCTGTCACATTTATGTACCTTTGCCCTAAAACAGAAATATTAGATTACTGGCAAAGTTCACTTTCTGGTGCATTTAGAATATTTGAAGCTGAGATCTTGTTCCTGTATGTAATGATACTGATTCGTGTTAGCCTGAAATGATCTAAAATCTATGACCTTTATGATTTACTGCAAGGTTTTTTTTTTAGTCTCAAGCATGTGGAATCTTTAGAGGCAGCAGAGAAATAGAATTTAATGTCAGAGCTTGTGGAAAAATCTGGCAAAGGGCCACTGGAGCACTTGGACCCGCCTCCTGTTGCAGGGTGGTGTGAATAGAAACAAGGAAAACACATGTTTGGGGTTTTTTTTAGTCTGAACAAAGGGACTAACCTTCTAAATCTTTTCCATCTGGACCAGTCCACAAATACTTGGGATCTATTATTTTTTCTTGAGAATGGGCCAAATCCATACAGACCAGAAACGGGCTGTTTGTGAACACCTTAACGTACACGTTCACTGCAACACAGAATCAGGTAAATGGTGTGAAATGCTGATATTGAATGAAATCACCAAAACACTAATTAAAAAAATGTCTTTAAAGTTTAGTTTTCCTGTTTGGACTTGAAAAGTGTAAGTTTAATATCCATTTGTTCTTAATTAATATCCTGGAACTGTCCACAGTGTGGCTGGTGCTGACTGTGCAGAGGAGACACTCATGTCCCACACACAAACTGTGGTGCAGGGGCACAAAAAGCACCAGATTTTTGAGAAAGATGCTCATTTAGCTGTTAAATTTTCATCTATGCTTCTAGCAGCACTGTGGGACAAATGTACTTCCATTCCCTTTCCCTTGTTACTGTACATATGAGCTTGTGGCACTTCCCCTGGTGGTACATAATGATCCCTGTGCTTAAAACTCCAAATTCCAGTAAAAACTAAATATGTATATGAAAAAATACCAGTTTACCTTCATGCTTGGTGTCACCATAAACTTCATTCTTTCTGATTAAATCAACAGAAAGTTGCTCTTCCTTCGGTTCCGCTCTCACTGTAGGGAAAAGGAATTGGAATATGAGAGATCAATCTAAATGCCTGATTGCTAATCATTTATTTCACCCTGGCAGGGGTCTTTTGTCTTACTTTTACTTTTCCCCTATGCTTTTCTTTTTAGCAACAAACAGGAGCTTGTGTTTTTGACTTGCCGGTTTTTTGTTGGTTTAGTGCCCAGCCTGCAGACCTGGCTGTTATCAGGTCCCAGACGAGCTGAGCCTTCCCCTTTATGAAAAACCACCAAAATAGTTACAAAATGTGGCCATAAAGTGAAGGCTCCACAGGAGGATGACCCTGAGGAAACACAGAATGGTCACAGGGTGACCGTGGAAGGTGTTGAGGTTTCAGGAACCTGTGAGACTTTGCCTTTTGGGAAACACCAGACCAAGTGGTCGGGCACGAGGGTTCCTGTGATGACAGCGCCTAGGAGGGGTGAAAATTGTTGGAATTTGTTGTTTGGTTTGGTTTTTGTTGTTTTCTTTTGGTTTTTTTTTTTTCAGGCCATGTGTCCCAGGACTGGGTCTGGGGGCAGAGGGCTGTCAGTGGCGTCCCCTCTAAAGGGGCTCCATCACCCGCTCTGAGGGAAGGTTCTACGGTGACACCCCCACCCCACAGCAGCGCCCCGAGCCACACCGTGCCCACTTCCCCGGCACCCCCCCACCCCTCGCACCCCATCCCACCGCCGCCAGCACGGCTGCCATGCCCAGGAGAGCGCCCGGGGGCAGCGGGTCCGCCCGCCGCCCCCCGCCATCCTCCCGCCGCCCCTCACAAACGGCCGCCGCGGGCGCGAGGGGGCGCTAACGGACCCCCCCCTCAGCCTCCATCCCCGCGCGCCGCTTCCCGCCCTTTTCCTCCCCTCAGGGCTGAGGGTGGGAAGGGCTTGGGGGTGGTGGTGGGGAGGAGGAGTGTTCCCTCTGGGTTCCTTCGCTCCCGTCTCTGACCGCCCCCCTCGCCCACACGCGGTGCTTCTTAAACTGTTTAAAACATCCTCCTTCCTCACCCGCCCCTCGCCAGTGCTTTTTAAGCAGGGCTTTGTTGGTTTTTTTTTTCTCTCGCTTTCAGGCCGTTGAGGCGCTCGGTGGCGAAGGAAGGGCCCGCACCCCCCCACCCCAACCCCGCCCCGTTGTCACCCCTCGGCCTCGCTTCGCTCGCAAAGTGCGTACTGAGCTTTGCTTTTGAGCCTCAAGTGGTTTTTCCAGCTGTGGGACAAGGAGAGGGAAGTACAGGGGGAGGAGGAGGGAACGGGCTCCTTCGTGGTGGCTGTGTCAGTGCTGAACCTGCCCAGGGCTATGGAAGGTGTCCCTACCCATGGCGGGGGGCGGAACTTGGACCATCTTTAGGGCCCCTTCCAACCCAAGCCAGTCTGGGATTCTGTGATTCTGTCACTTGTTGTGAGAAAGACTGAAAGTAAGAGCCGGGCACATCCTGTGGCTTCACCTCCGGAGGGGCTGAAAGCACTGGGTGTTCTCCAGCTGCAGGTTTCTGGAGTGAGTCATTATGGGACACATATTTTTCGGCTTGAAACCAAAGAAAACATCCCTTTTAGTACCTGGAAGGGCTCCAAGAGAGCTGTGGAGGGATTTGTGACAAGGGCTTGGAGTGGTAGGCCAAGGGGAATGGCTTTAAACTAAAAAGGGGATATTTAGATTAGATATTGGGAAGAAATTCCTCCCTGGGAGGGTGGGCAGGCCCTGGCACAGGTTACCCAGAGAAGCTGTGGTTACCCCAGCCCTGGAAGTGTCCAAGGCCAGGTTGGATGGGACTTGGAGCAACCTGGGCTAGTGGAAGGTATCCCTGCCCATGGCTTTAAGGTCCCTTCCAACCCAAATCCTTCTTGGTTTCAAAGGTTCTGCCGCTTGCTGTGACTGAAAGGAAGCGCCGGGAACGTCCTGTTGGCTTGACAATAAAGCCAAATGCCACAGTGTTGCTGTGAGTAACTTTCAAGCCGGTTACATATTTTTGGAAAACTTACCAATGACTTTGAAACTCTTAAAAGTGTGAATATTTTGTTTCTAGTGCAAGTGATACAAAAACACTCAAGAAACTGAGAGGAGGGTCCTTGCGTTTGACCACACCTCACATCCTGAGATGCTCCGGACCAGGAACGGTGGCCGAGCTTCTGGTAATTGGCTAAATTATATTTATCATAATTATCTTGATCATATTTATCACCCCAGGCCATGCTAATGTCCAAAAATGATGTAATGGGATTTGCATAGCAAATATGGAACCAACCAACGCAGGAATGAGAGTTATTTTTGTAGAGAGCTGTGAAAGTTTAACTCAATGCTTCCATGTAAAAAAAGGCACATAAATTACAAGTTTCTTTTAATGAAGAAGCGTTTGCTAAAAACAGAGAAAAAAGTTTGAAAAAGAAGGTATCAAGCTATTGATGGTAAACAGTTTTACTCAATAGTTCTTCTTCCTTAAGAAATTAACTCAAGTGGTTGGCTAAGGTGTAAGAACTATGTCAGGGTTTTCATTTTTAATGTCCTTGAGCTGCTGAGCAGGACAGAACTGGGACCACCTCAAACAATCCTGTGTTCCCATGTGCTGAATGTTCTCAGTTTTACTCAAAGTGAGCATTTCACTCCGGTGCTGTGCGGGCAAAATGATTCAGTTTTTAACGTGTCTGCTAAAAACAACTCATTTTTCAGCCTGAACAGCCTCAGTTCCTAAGGATGTTTATAGCTCATTTCACATCCTGCACAGGCCCAGCTTGTTAATTATTATTAAATAATATCTTTACTATAAAGCTTTGGCTGCAGTTCTGAATCTTTATAAACTGAGTCTGCATCTTTAGCCAAATGACTCATTTATTTTCAAATCTATAACATTCCTAAGTCACAGATTGATAAATTGTCATCATAGACTTGTAAGCTGGGTGAGGAGGGAAGGTTGGTTATTTTTAGGAACAGGGAGTGTCAGGGGGAGGATTTATTAGGACAAAATGTGAATTCAGGTATTTGTGCTTAAACCCTGGATTACTGGGGTTTTTCATTAATAGAAGCTCTATCAGTAGGAAATAATAGAAGAGGAAAAAATTTGACATAAACTTGATCATGGTATGAATAAATATTAAAAAGGTGAATATTTTACCCTAGAAAATACATAGAGAGACTTCCAGGAGTCCAGAGTCAGGTGAAGGACCTGTGCAGGGCTCTGGAGAGGAGCTACCTGAGCTGTAGAGCACAAGTTCTGTCTCTGATCTTTAAGGTGAGTGATCCAAAGCTGGGATCACACAAAGGAGGGGCACAGTCAACACAGTGCCATTTTTACAGGCTGACAAAACCAGGCTCATTTGATTTCTGCCCTTAAAATAAAAACAGAGAGAAGACACAAGCGATTATCTGATGGTAAAAGTGATGGAAAGTAAAGATTTACAGTGGAGAACAAATCTGGAAGCAAAAGAAAAAGGGCATGTATAATCCTGGGGTGGGAACCAGAGGTTTTTGGTTGTCACACAATAATCCCAGGGCTTCCTTAGAGCTCCCAGGAGCAGGAAACCTTCCTAATTCCTTCCTAAATGGTTCTGGAAAGGGGACACAGAGATTGTCTGGAATAGCAGAGAATTGGACTTCATTATCCCACATAACTTTTTTTTTTCCTACATTTTATTTCTAGAATCATTTTGCAAGCGATGGAAAAGCAACAGTTTAAGAAGGAGTTGATGGCAGCACACAGGAAGTGAGTAGGAGAATCATGTTTCCATGCTGTTATCCCACACCTGAGCTGTGGTAATTCACACTCCCTGCCTTTGGATTTACATCCAAGCTCAGATCCCAGTTTCATTTGCCACTTCAGTAACTGGGCTTAGGTTGGAAGGGACCTGTAAATGTCACCTGGTGCCACCCTCAGCCACAGTGGGGACATCCTGTGCCAGGTCAGGTCCCTCAAAGCCCCAGCCAGGCCCGGTGTGCCGTGAGCCTCTTTCAGGATTCTGTGCTAGATGTACAAAAATCATCATTTAGCAATTCCCCGAGCACTTTGAAACTCACGTTTGCTTTATTTTATCAAAGATCTTTGCACCTTGATTCTCTGCTAAACAGCAACGCTGTTCTGTCAAGAAAAACAGCCCGTTGAACCTAAGTTGTATTTACTCTCAGTCACTTAACTCTTAACACACAGCCTGAGATGTCTGAGGGCATGCAGTGCGTGCTCTGCGGGCTCTGATGCCCTTTGTCCTACCCAAGTGTCTGGGGGCTCCCCCAGACACCCCTAAAACAGGCGCTGTGCCCTCAGCCCGAGGGGCTGGAGCCTGGTAGCGGCAGCAGCAGCAGCTCCGGTGTCCCGGTGCCGGCCCCGCCGCCCGGCGCCGCTCTCCGCCCGCCGAGCCCGGGCCGGATGTCACGGAGCGGGGCGGGAGGCGAGGCCGGTGCTCCCCGCCGGCAGCGCCGAGCCCGGCGGGGCAGGTGGAGCCGGGACCCGCGGCCGGAGCATGGAAGGTGAGAAACGACCCCGCTCTTCCCTCGCGGACCCCGGAGCCCCGCAGCGGCTCCACCGCCCCGGGGACCTCCAGCCGCTTCTTCGGGCGCTTGCTGCGAGCAGACCGCGGGGCTCCGGAGGAGCGGTGGAATCGCGTGTAGCAATTGAGCAGGAAACGAGCGGGGCTGCTTGACCGCTCTCTGTTTAATTTCAGAGACATCACGGCGCGTGTGGCAGAGCCGGGGTTTATCTGCTGGTCCTATTCTGGGTTTTAACGAATTCAAGGGTGTGTTGGTTTCTTTTCACTTGTATGTGATGTTCAGAGCCAGCAAAAGCCAAGCTGGGAGTTAAATCTTGGGGTGCAGAATGATTCCCTTTTGAAGGAAAGCAGCATTTCTCGTGTTTTTAACAAACCTGGCAAAGAAGCTCTGCAAAGCATCACTTGGCTTCTTATTTCAGAGGTGGAGATTCTTACTGCAACTCAGAGCTTCAGGGGCTAGAGTTCAAACTCTGCTCAAGGTCTTGAGCAGTTTGCTTATTCGAAGTTAGCTGCAGTTGCCTATTTAAAAATGCATTTTGCTTTGCTAAAGGCTTTCTAACTTTGTATGTAAGTTAATCACTCATTGAATGTGACTGAATTGAGACCATCACTGCTTGAAAGACAGAACTAAAGTTTTGAAAGAATCGATTTGGGGGCAGCTTAGCACTTAAAAATGCAGCCTTGTTTTCTTGATGGAGTTGGGATCGCTGCCTTTTTGGGAGAGAAAACTTGTGAGGTAGGTGGGAATAGCCTGTGATTAGAAAATGATGTCTCTCTACAACTGAGGTCATCTAAGAAGTCTCTTTTTTTGGCTTTCTTGTTTCTTGTGCACTCCAAGTGAACGTGGAAATAATCCTGCAGGTTTTGGTTCTGTACGTGAGGAGGATGAGGATTCATTAATGTGCCCGAGGCTGTTACAGTGGGGATGAAGTAGGTGCTATGCCTGGATACAGTAACTGCCAAGAGCGTTTCCGTGGGTCTTGGGAAAATCTCAGTTGCTCTGGGATCAGCAGGGAATTTGCCTCTGAGGACAGAGGGGGAACTCTGCTGTCCTGGATTTTCCATGCCCAGCGTGAGGAGGCCCAGTATGGTCACGGAGCGGGAGATGGGCCCTGGCCAGAGTAGGTAGTCATTAACTTGGTTCTCTCTCTGTGACTAGTTTGGTTTGGTTTTGTGACTGTCAAAAGAACTGCCCTGCTGTCAGCTCCAGGTGCTGGGATCAACCTGTTGGACCAAGGGTTGGACTTCGATGATCCTAGTGGGTCTCTTGCAACTCAGAATATTCC